CACCCCTCAACCCCAAACCCTAGACCCCGAACCCTCAACCCCAAACCAGAACTTCCTCTGACTCACTTCATCCAGGGATTCCTAACACTCTGTAGCCCTACTCGTGGCAACCTAAACCCTAAACCCCTTCAAGCAGGGGTAATAAATCATGTGCGGCTTGAGTCAACAGCTGGGGGCTCAGCTTTCTCTCACCAGCCACGCTCGGGCATTTGCCGCTGGCCTCAGGGCAAATTCGGGTTTAGGGGTTCAGGGTTTGTTGGGGACTAGGGATTAGGACTAGGATTCAGGAATAAGGTACGAGTACCGGTTCGTTGTTGTGGGGTAAGCATTTGGGGCAAGGACTGCACCCGTGCTGGCGCCAAAAGGTGCCACCCCAAACCTGATGACCCCAAAGTCTGGACACGGAGCTTTTGACCCAAGCCTTGAACCCTAAACCCTACATCCTAAACCCGAAAAATCATCCTGATTGCCTTCAGCCAGTGCAGCAACCAGTGGTCGTCGCCGCCCTCCGATTCCATGGCTGGTTTGAGGCTCCTTTTTCGGGGTTTAGGGTTGCGGGTTTAGGGTGCTCTATGCTGTGGTGCTGTATGCTGCGGTGCTCTATGCTGCTGTGGTGCTCTATGCTGCTGTGGTGCTCTATGCTGCTGTGGTGCTCCATGCTGCTGCGCTCAAGCGTGTGCTGACGAGCCGAGTTTTCGGGAATGCGAGTCAGCTGCTGACAGGGATTCTAGACAGGTCGATTTTGTTCTTGAAGATTTCAAAAGGCAGGCGTTACATGAAGGTCTTGGGCTTCCATGGGCTTCCTGGCACGACATCTTGGCATCTTGGACTCTGACCATCAGATGCTTCGGAACAGCAGACATCGAAAGTCTACACGTGGCATGCCTGCCTTTCGACCGTTGCACACAAAGTTCCGCGTGAATGTTCTGCAACATGACATAACAAGCATTCTTGGATTGCCCAAGCAAGCCTGGAAGGGTTGGAGGATTTGCGGATGTTCACAGGGCTTAGGGCAGGCTCAGGGCTGTAATGAGGGTTGTTTCACAGGGTGTAGCAGTTCACCAGCATGTAAAAACAATTCCAAGGGCCTGCCTAGGTAAGTTTTGCCTGTCATGGGCGAACTCTTCTCACCTCTCTGTTGCGGCGGGGCCTCGGTTGGGAAGAAAACAGTGTGGAAATTGGGGGGCCCTGGCTCCAACTACCACTTGAAGACACGCGGCGTCCCAAAACTTAAGGGCCGCCAGTGTGTCTTGAGGTAAGGGGTGCCTGTACTTGGGGTGCGGCCCTGACCAAGGACGACCTTTCGGCCCGAGCAAGCAGCAACTCTCCCCCCGAGCGCAGCCCTGATTTACAGACAAGAGTAAGTAGCCTAACCCCTAAACCTTAAACTTTAAGGGGTTAAGAGTTTAGGCTCAGGAGAAGCAGTTTCTGTCGCACTCTTGTTTTCTCTTCACGCAGACGTCCCAATAGACCGTGCCTGCGCGTTCTCGACAAGTGCTGCCAGCTGCACGACCCTTCCCGGCAGTGAAAAGGAATCAGATGTGCTTTGAACCTCAGAAAACAACCTAAACCCAAAGCCCTAAACCCTAAACCCTACAAGCCCTAAGCCCTAAAACCCTGGACCCTAACTCAAACTGGGTTTGGTCCAGGAGAGCTTGCGCCGGCCACTCCGACGTCACCGTCCGCGGGTCCGTGGCGCTGGCGCGTCGCCTTGAGGGGCTGAGGGTTTAGGAGCTTTTGGGGCTTTAGAGTTTAGGGTTCAGGGTTTAGGGTGTGGGGTTCAGGGTTAGGGCTCAAACTGTCCGTCAGACCTGTAGCATGGGGTATCTCACATATGCTGTAATTAATCGAACTGTACTACACAACAGCGCTTTCAATCCACAGCCTGCGCTCTGAACTCCGAGCTCACAACACCTTGAAGCCTAAACCCTAACCCGAAATTCCAACGCCAGCCCAAAACACCGCGTAAAGCCATGCACCCAAAGCACCACCAAAAAAACGACTCCGAAGCCCAGTGACTCACCCGCCGGAGCGGAGCCAGCGGGGCGGCATCCTCGAGGTCGAAGCAGGTGTTGCCTTGATCATATGAGGCTCTTTTCTCGAAACCATGGTAGAGGGCTTTTCAGCGGAGGCGGTTGTCGTTAAAGAGTCGTCGTTGTATGGATGACGTGATGGATGGCATCATGGATGATGCCTGGATGATGGCGTGATGGATTTCGTGGGTTCTCCTCTTGAAATTCATAATCCGCATCTGTTCAATTACATACCTCCACATTTCAAGATTTTCGTCGAAAATCCGGCTGCAAGACTGCTTTCCAGTGCGGGGGCTTTCGTATGGGGAAACACCACCACATTTAAAGAACATTTTCCGGGGGGGGGAGTTGAAAAATCTAGTCCGAAGGCTTCTTTTTTTGCATGCTGAGCTGCAGTTTGGATCGGTGATAATTGCCATTGTCTTATTATTGCGGCGCCCCGCCGTTCTTATTGCGGTGGGGGGGGGGGGGTGGGGCCCAATTAAACAGATGCTCGGATTATGTGTTAAAGCACGTGGCGGCCGCACCTGGGTCAAAAAAAATGCAAAAACGCCAACCCTCTGCGTGTTTTCGCGTTGTCGAAAGGCAAAAACTACGACCCTTTGCGTCTTCTTGGGGTGTCGTGATCGCGTGAACGATGAACGATCACCCTCGGCGTGTTTTTGCGTTGTCGAAGCACAAAAAAACCATGACCCTCTGCGTGGGCCCGGCGTGTCGTGATCGCGTGAATGCCAAGCCTCGCGTGTTTTTCGCATTGTCGAAACGCAAAAACGACGGCCCTCCGCGTATGACCCTCTGCGTGCTTTTGCGGTGTCCAAACGTAAAAACGACGACCCTCTGCGTGTATCGTGATCGCATATGAACGATGACCTTTTGCGTGCTCTTGCGTTGTCGAGACGCACAAAATGCGTGGTTTGGCGTTCGAGAACCCTCTGCGTGGTCGCGAGGTGTCGTGATCGCGTGACCGCCAACACTCTGAGTGCTTTTGCGTTGTCGAGATGCAAAAGCGACGACCCTCTGCGTGCTCGCGGGGCGTCGTGATGCTGGTGCATGGGAGGCGTTCGCTTTTGCGTTCGCGAACGGTGCATGGATGGATGTCGTGATTGATGTCGTGATGGATGGTGAGTTGTCTTCGTGAAGGTTCCTCGTTATCGCTGATGCATGGATGGCAGTCGTGATTGATGTGTCCTGATGGATGGCGGGTGGTCTTCGTGAAGGTTCGTCGTTATCGATGTCGTGATGGATGTGCTGATGGATGGCGGGTGGTCTTCTTGAAGGTTCTTCGTCATCCTTGATGCATGGATGGATGTTGTGATGGATGGCGGGTGGTCTTCGTGAGGGGTCTTCGTTAGATGTCGCGATGGATGTCGCAATGGATGATGCAAGGATGGACGGCGTGATTCAAGGATTGAATCGTGGCTTGAACATGCTTTCGGGACAACTGTTCTCTAGTAGGGTTTCGCGCGACAGGTTTAAGGATGCCGTCAATCCTAAATTTGAAGTCCCAAAAGCAAAAACCCTTGAGGCCTACACCCGAAACCCTTTGGGCTTCAGGGCACGGGGGATTAGGGTTCCTGGGGCCTTCAGGTGCCCTATGAGGTCTGTAGGAGTCTTTGGGTTTAGAGTGTAGAAGGCTCCTTGGCTCTAGTGTTCAGAAGGTTTGAGGTTTCTCGGAGAACGCGCGATCGAAAAACCGGACACTCCTTATGCTCCACATCACGTCCCTCACTCAACACTGAGCAGCCCTGAGCTCAAGAGCTATTGAATCCCTGGAAACTGCCTTCAGCCCAGGCTTAGGAAGTAGTCCAGTGAGGTGCAGGCGAATTCTTTGCTGTAGCACCATTGCATTTTTGACGTCTGAAAATGCCTTTCGACACTACAACTTGGCAGAGACCAGTGCACACCTGATACGCCGAAGCCTGCGTGGTACAGTGCAACCCTCAATTCCCGGGTCCAAGACCTTGAATTTCCCTAAACCCAAAACCCTGAGACCCTAACCTCTTGAACCCCCAAAGCCGGCCCGAAGCCCAAACGCACAAAACCCTAAACCCCGTAAAGCACCTAAAATCCTAAACCCTTCAGAAACATCGCTGACAGGGCACGGATTCTGAGCTGCTGGGTCATGGTTGCAAACTAGGCAGTGTCTTCAAATATCTTTATCTGGATAAACTGCGCACGCCATGCCTACAAATTTCTATATAGAGTACTTCCTCGTTACGATCCAAGCAAGATTCCCTAGAACTGCTCGCAGCTCCAGATTCTCGCTCAAGGGAGTGAGTTGGCTTCACAGTTTAGGTTCATGGCTGAGCTAGATCCTCAGAGGGAGGTAGACCTGCGGGAGAGAGCTACCAAGACTCTAAAAGTCTCTAGTCTCGAGCCATCAAGCTGAAATTGTCGCGCCATGTCAGGGCTTGCGGGGCTTAAGGCTTGGGGGCTTGAGGTTTAGGGTCTAAGGCTAAACTTTCTTCACAGGCCTTTAGACATGCAACGATCGCAACATTGGATGATGCAGGGTCTAGGGTTCCCAAACACTTGGCACCGCCGTATGGTAACAGGCATAGTGACACCCTGGCTCTCTCAGGGAGATTGAGGATGTCTGCCTAGACACAAAAAAGTCTAAGTTTTCGGAAGTTCCATACCCAATGCTTCTTTACGAGACACCGTAGCCTGATGCTCCGAGAGGGGCGAATCCCCGATGGATGCCAATCGATGCAATTACATGAAACAGAGCGACAAGAAGAATTCGCATCGTGGAGGTGCTTCTTTTTGCTCACGGCCGCCGCTGGAGGGCTGTAACCCAGCGTCGGTAATGCCTGCCAGGAACGAGCAAGGGACCCTTTCCACAGCCTCTGTCATTGACCTGCATCATCTCTGAACATCTTCCAGCTGCTGTCCGCGTTCGCGAAAGTCTCTCGGGCGCTTTGTCCGCCAAATAGAAGATCTCTATCTCGCTCTCGTCCTCTTGTCTCAGCAGCGTGGCCAGTACATCCACCCACCTTCGTATCCTAGTGAGTGGTGGACGTGCCAGTAGCTGCACAATGAGATCAATTCGCCACTAGGGCTCTTTCGGTGAGAGCAACAACAGCTCCAAGAGGCCCAACTTGCCGAACCCCATTGCTCTCTGCACCTCGAGCAGCCACATGAAATGCGCCGCGTTGCACACAAGCCTGCCCGACAGACAGCAGAATCAAAGCCAAGGCAGTGCATGACTTGATCTCGGACCAGCGTGTAGTTCATCTCCTTGACTTCAGGAAAGTGGTCGCGCTTGGCCCTTTTGGCCTCTTCCATTCGCCACCATTGACCTTGGGTCCACATTTGGTTCGTTCATAAAAATGCAGTTCTAGAACAAGAAGCCTGCGTGAGAGCTGAGGGGTGCAGCTGCCATGGAAGCCCAGGAACTCTGGCAGATCTTCTGATGCGCCGGAAGTCCAGCAAACGTCGTTTTTTCGAAGTTCTTTCGAACTTCTTCGCACTTTTCTTTCCGCGCAGCCCGAAGAGCATTGAACAATGCGACGTTAGTCTGGGCAAAGCTCACGATCGACGCCGGCCTGACATGCTCACGTACTGAAAGTCAAGCAGCAACCCTAACTCTAGTGCACTTTCGGATACTGCGCACCAAAGACTAACGTCAAAAATGCGGGTACAGACCCGCAACAGTCAGCAGCAGTCTTTCCTACGAGTTGCACACACAGACACACACACACACACACACACCGCCCGCACCTCTTCTACAAACAGGAATGCAACAAGTGGCAAGATATGTCTGCTTATGTGTGGTTCCTGCAACAGGCATAATAGAACTTCTGTCAGCGTCCGAACATCACATACCCGTGAGCTAGTCCTAGAAGCTTCACTAAGCCACTGCCAAGGGCTCTATGGACAGCGGCGCGCTCAGAACAAGAGGCAGAGCATGTTGTTGAGCTTGTGACAATTGCGTCTCACGGCCAGTCTTGAAAAATCCGAGATGCCATGCTCACCCAGCCTGCTCAAGTCGCCCCACTTGGCCAGATGCAGCACCCACACCTCTGGACAAGCCCGAGTTTCCAGAACTACCAGTAACATTTTGTCTGGAGTCGAGCGGGGAATTTCTGGTATGCGGACGATCCTTGGTGAGGTGCACCACAGCATGTCTCTGGGATTCCTGAAGGTAATTATGTCATATTCTTTCTGAGCTCGAGATCAAAACATGATCCATTTGGCAACAAAAAGGCATGGCATGCAGAATTACACTGCGTCCTTGCCTTGAGGTCGTTGGCCTCGTGTGATGTCATACTCCAACGAATGACCTCCTTCACCTTAGTCTGAGTGTATGGTGTAGCAGCACACCCAAGCCCACTTGCCAAGCTCTACATCCTAATCGTCCTAATCATGTTAAGCCTTTGCTCCCTAAAGACTGTAGTGCAGAAAACTGGGCAGGGTTGGGCAGGAAACCGCAGGGTTGTAGGCTTGGGCAGAAAATCGGGCAGGGTTGGGCAGCAAATCGGGTAGGGCTGGGCAGAAAACCGAGCAGGGTTGTAGGCTTGGGCAGAAAATCGGGCAGGGTTGGGCAGCAAATCGGGTAGGGTTGGGCAGAAAACCGAGCAGGGTTGCAGGCTTGGGCAGAAAATCGGGCAGGGTTGGGCAGCAAATCGGGTAGGGTTGGGCAGAAAACCGGGCAGGGTTGGGCAGCAAATCGGGTAGGGCTGGGCAAAAAACCGAGCAGGGTTGTAGGCTTGGTCAGAAAATCGGGCAGGGTTGGGCAGCAAATCGGGTAGGGCTGGGCAGAAAACCGAGCAGGGTTGGGCAGAAAACCGAGCAGGGTTGTAGGCTTGGGCAGAAAATCGGGCAGGGTTGGGCAGCAAAATCGGGTAGGGTTGGGCAGAAAACCGAGCAGGGTTGCAGGCTTGGGCAGAAAATCGGGCAGGGTTGGGCAGAAAACCGAGCAGGGTTGCAGGCTTGGGCAGAAAATCGGGCAAGCAAATCGGGTAGGGTTGGGCAGAAAACCGGGCAGGGTTGGGCAGGAAATCGGGTAGGGCTGGGCAGGAAACCGGACAGGTTGGGCAGGAAATCGGGCAGGGTTGGGCAAGAAATCGCGCAGGGCTAGGCAGGAAATCCCGTAGAATAGGGTTTCGGGCTTAGGGTTAAGGGCTAAACAATGCGTTTGTGCTTGTTTCAGGGCTTGCCGCGTAGGTCTGCGTAGGCGCGCGTCAACAACATACTCCGCGCGTAGGCCGCGCGCCTACTAAACATGAGCTTACGCGTAGGCCCGCGTAGGATACCCATGCCACTACAACACCCCACACAACGAAAAAAAAATGCTCAAGTGGAGGGGGAGTGCCGGCAGCGCGGGGCAGCACTGCACCACAGAAGGGGCGAAGAGGCTAAGATGTTTTTGACTTCTGCCTCCGCGAAGGAACACGGGCGCCGACACACCGGGGCATGCGTAGGTGTTCCAGCACGCTGTGCCCTAACACGGAAACCCCCTTCCATTATGCTTATGCCTTTTCGGATTTCTTCGATACGGTAGAACTGTCGCGAACTCCCGCGACAAACGCGCAAGGCATAGCCGCGCAGCCTAACCCGGCATGTCAGATGGGATCGTTCTGGCCCCTGCCATCGCTGCATTCCCAGCTGCCTCCAATTCAATTCTCGTCTACAGCATGTACATATTTGTACATGAACTCGCGAACATCGAAGGCTTGTTGATCTTATCAAAAAAATATGGCAGGCTGCAGCAACGTCCAAATCTTCGACTCATCTAAACTGCATGGAATTCAATCGGCGCGACAAGTTGCAACAACATCCAAGTGTTCAACTCACCTAAACTGCGTGGAATTCCAGGTCACGACTTGTCCATCGTCCAGGGTGTGAGCGAAAGCTCCGTCGCTCGTACAGGAGGGTCCTGTAAGGCAAGCTCTAACAGCACGCGTGCAGCATGCATGGAAATCCAGAACTCATGACTTCTCCGACAGGCTGCAAACGTTGCAAGACCTCTCGGCTCTCCCTGACAAACGCAATATGTGAACCTTGCCCGTCATGTCTGTCCTTGGCAGCGGCCATGCTCTACCAGCCACCAGCCAGGAAGCCCCTGTTGCAGGCAATGCTTGGAGAGGTGTGCCACCCCGTGCCACTTACCTATATCCCCGTTCAAGCCAGTGTACGCAGCATCTGCTCGGCCCGATCATTTTCCTGCTCTCAAGCGCCTGGACCGCTGGCTCGTTGCCCGGTTGCTCAAATAGCCTTGAGCTTCCACATTCTGACATAGGCCAAACCATCCAACATGCTGAAACGCATGTTTTCGCAGAGTGTACTATAGAACCTCCTACTTTACAGTCGGGAAACCTTTGTGCTCATGGCCCCCATGTTGCCAAGAGACACGGAAACAGGTGCCCGTGCAAGACACTATCGTGACGCCGGTAACCAAAGCGCGGGAATGCATCACCACTGTTCACTATGGTTTGCAAAGTATGAGGGCGGCATTCCCCAACCGGCGTCGTCACATGCAAGCTTGCGCTTTTCCACATGTCGCGCGAATTCCTGCTAGCACGCAGCTTCCACAATGGGATGTTGCCGCGGACAGATTGAGGCAAGTACCCTGGCAATCAAGTTGGCTTGTGTACCGGCCTGTGTACGTAAAGACTGGTTTAAAAGTCTATGCTCAATGCGTCCCTCGGTGTCTCTACTTGACCAGTCACAAACACTCGCGTGACCTGCCCACTTTGCAGATTTTGCTGCCGTGCTCACCCAGCCGCTGAGCTGTACCCAATATGTCAGGGAAGGCTCCAGGTCAGCGCGCCCGGAATTTCGAATACTTCGGAATACTGCAATCCGATACAATCCATTGCAATCCCAATGTCCGAAAAAGAAACGCCCAAAAGCATGTGCTACATGTACCCGCGCAACCGGACACTTCCTTCATGCAGCCCTGGCGATGCGTCTCAGAGCGTCGGACCGGCCGCGTCCCCATTGCAGTCTTTGGTCTACCCGCTCGACGTTGCGCACTTCTGGACGGGCCACGGGACATCCTTGTATACAGCCTGTGGATTCAAGTAGATCAATTGACGATGCACTTTGACCAAGGTCCCCAATCTGCCAGAATTCAATCAGCAGGGCATGGAGCCATCGGGCACACCTTGCAGTCGGCCGTCCAGCGAAAGGAAATCAAAGCCATATTGCAAACAGCTTACCTTTCGCAGATCAACTTTATCCACCTCGTTTTGATCTACCAAACTGGCCGCCAAGACACTCGCAGATCATCCTGCTGCCTGCGAGAGGTGTAACCATCATTCTGCTTGCGCATCTCCTATGTGCAGAGCCAAAGTGCCTTGGCTGCTTATGTGCCTCTTGCCTTAAAATACCTTACAAACCTTCGCAGCTCTTGCCCCCATCAGTTTCGATCCTCGGAACCCTCGTCCGCTCGCTCTGACTGCCAACGTTCCTTCCTCTTTTGGACAAAGCTTGTCCCTCTACCAGCCCTACCCCGGCTCATGGATAGCACCCAGCTCTTGCCAGCCTCCCCAATCGCTTCATTCATCGTCTACACAGCATCTTGTCTTGCCGTGAGTAACTTGCTGTGTACTTCGATCTTGTGTGCTTTGGTTTTACTGCACGGCTCCGTTGGTCAGGTTATGCACGGAATGCACGGTATGCACAGCAACGGCTGAGTGCCGGCGTGATGCCTATGAGAGACTGCCTTTTCAATCTGCTGCGTTGGAATCTGCTGGATGAAGCTCTCTTGTCCTTAGCCGGTCACAAAACATCGCGTAACTCAAAAACAGAGCTCAACGCAAACCCACGAGTACTAAGTACAAAACGCCATCGGCTATCGGTGACAGTTGGTGACTGCGCGACTGTGCTCTCGCAAAGGCAAAGCCAAGCCTCCAAGTACTCGTGAAAAGTACCAATTGCAAACGCTACGAATACGCACGCTTCAGTTCTTGCAACTACCGAACAACGCATCGAAGTCTGCAAGTGCAACACTGTGCCCAGACCACTTTCTGAGAATCGACTGCGCAAATGCATATTGGCACCGCGGCAAAATACATCCACCTGCTTGCCAAAGACATCCACCTGTTTGTCCTTTGGGCTCTGCGCCGGAACCCCCCTCCTCGGCCTGAAAGCCGGATGTTTCGACCCTTGAACCAACGTGGACGAAGTTGGACCCTTGCCGAGCAGTGGGACTGCCTATTGCATATTATGGCTGCATGATGCAAGGAGCGCTTTTGCACCCCGCCCAATGTTAAACTGATAGAGACGTACCACGAACCCAAATACGGAGACGTCACACGTCATACGCGCCGAGGACGCGCAACGCACGACACGATTCGCTGACCTCATGTAGCATGAGCAGAAGTTGGAAACAAGATCACGAAATCAGCCGCAAAAGTAGGCTTCCGCAACTACGGCCATGCGGCACTCACGAACGCTACCGAAGCAACGCCCAAAAGCAGCTTTCTGCAACTACAGCCGTGGCTGCGTGGGTTGAGAAGTCTTAAGACAGGATTTGCAAGCAGTTTTAAATAGCGAAACTGCAGGGGCACATAGGTTTGGGAAGGCGGTTTTACGATGTTTCCATTGCAGGGTTGGCAAAGCATGGCTGGAGTCGCGGGAGGAATGCTAGGCCATGTGAGCCAACCTGCCAACCTCCCCACCTCTCCTACAGGGGGCATCCCAACCCCCTGCAGTAACAACATCGTCATTTCACGGTATGTTGAAACAAGGGTCCACGCGAGGCTCGCGCGAGGTACGAATAAACAGGAAGTCTTCTGCAACGCAATGGGGGATCAGAACAATATTCTGGATGATTTGCCGGGACCCTGGCTAAATTGCATTGGGAAACATTCAAACTCTCAACCCTAAACCACATCCGCCGTGTTCATGTTGTCCTCAATGTGTTGGGACCTCCGGTGGGAAGCTACCCATCCTACTCATTGCATCCAGATGTAACCAGCAACTGGGCACCACGTAAAGAACAAAATGTGTGTCGGTGGAAATTCAAGTGCAGCCCTCCAGATGAAGAAAAGGCTTGAAGGCATCAATGAAGGCTCAACCTCGTAAACAGTCTTGGAACACTGCAACTCACCTCGGAAATGAACACGGTTAGAACCATGAGCTCTGGTACCGTTAGCTGCGACTCCCACATGTTACGACGAAGAAAGCTCAAGGTTCTCGCTGCCGGCCAGCCGACGCCGAAGCAGGGGGAGCACGGCATCGATATCCTCCGCGGCTAGTATGGACGTCTGCAAGACCACGGTTATCTATTTGGAGACCTAAGGAACAAGAGTCAAGATCATAGACATATCTGGATTCGTTGCCTGCAGCAATGGCTTTCAGGACAGAATTCTCGCAAGAGCTGCTGTGTCGGCGCCGGATCTTAAATGTTGTTGCTCTGGTAAACGTGGAGAAGCGAATCGGCTTGTTACTGGAGACGTGTGTGAGACGTTCATTCTGCATATGCAGTTACAAAGTCAGCAGAGATGATCTTGTGGCTCACGTGGCGAAGTAGTAGTAACTCTTCAGGACGTAGCAGGACCTTCTGGAATCATACATGTCCGCGCCAAAGGGCTCCGCCCGAAGCCATATGAAGCAGAAACCAAACCCGAAACAGACAGCAGCTTGCCAGGCACATCTTTCCGGACTTCTTCTAATCACGCTTGATGTGGTGCAGACCTTTAACATTGCAAGCTCGACTTGCCTTGCCGTGGAGTCGGTGCAACTGATTCACAAAACTAGCGCGACGAACCGAAATCAAGCCCAGCCATCATGTGGGCATTGTGGTCACTACCTGCTTCATGCAGGTTAGCCCGACTTCACGGGACGGTGTGAATGTGACTCACCAACAAATGGAATCCAGCCGCTTTGGAGCAGAACGTCTGCCTGGCCTATGGGGATTGGCACAGGATTGGCTGACAAGGAATACCAGAAAGGAACCATACTTCCGGAAAGCAACCTGTTTTGGGATCTCTGCAAGCATTCTGGGCAACTCCGTTCCCGGTGGGATGTAGGAACGTGTGGCAAGCGCAGCGAAATCGTATCCCCAGCGCTCGCATCCAGGCCGACCAGTTTTAAGGGTCAATTACGTGGACGCCACGTGTCACTGGTAACAGGGACGCAGTCATCGTGCAGGATCGTGCAGGCCATCATGGATGCAATCCTCGTGCGGGCATAGATGCTCTGGCCATTCCAATGTGCTCGTAACAGGCAAGACCGCACTGGTAACATGGACGTAATCGACGTAATCATGCTGGTAACATGGACGCACCCGCGAGCAGGAAAGCGGACGCGCAGCTGAGCGAGCAAGGGTGGTTTTTTTTTTCCCGGCGCAAGCCAGAACTGAGAATTTCAAACAGCACTGAACGATTTTTTTGAAGTTGCAGTCGGGATTCGGTGATGATTCTTACTCAGGTCATCGCGCCCCGAACCCTCAACTCCAGTGAAGGGTCGCAGGCAGTGGTGCATTTGCTGGCGTAATGTTTCATGAACCACACACCGCAAGATGTATCAGCTGGTTTTGCAGCGCACTGGCAATGTCCTCTTCGAGCAGCAGAGGCAACCAGGCGTGCTCCTTCCGCGATGCAGCGGTTGGAGAGATTTGGGTTGTTGTTGGTTAAGGACTTATAGTGTTCAGGGGGTTTCCTGCGGTTTAAGGTTGCGGTTCTAGCGTTTCTTTTGGTTCTTACGACTCTGAAGCTGTGCGCGATTTTGACATGGAACAACGCCTGCAGTTCATGGACACTGCTGATCCATTTCCAACGTGTCCCTGCGAAAGCTCATGCAGAACGACACCGTCAAAGACTTGCAAGCTTGCACTCCAGCCAGCGTTCCAGCTTTGATCTCCTGGCATCTCAATCCTTTGACCGTCCGAACTGCCGACCGCAAAACCCTAACCTCCAAAGGCCACCCCTGCACAACTCGAAGTCACCGCAATCTCCCCTCCCCCCCGCCTCCACCAACCCCCCCAAGTTCCGTTACATACGCCCTGGAAATATCGCGTTTGCGGTTGACCTGAATTGTTTGAATCAGCCCTTTAGGAAGCATGGGGCGGATGCTCTCGTGTTCGTTTCCTATGAACTTTGGCATCCTTCTTGG